CTGCTGTTGGAAGGGATCAAGTAAGGGACCGTTCGGTATTTATGGAAAGGGCCACCGGAGGAAAATAGGGGAGGGTCATGTCTTTTTATTCTTTGTTGAGGGGAGGGTCACCCAACTTTTGTATTCATGAAAACAGCTAAATGTCAAAGTGGCTTGTTTGGTGCATATTTTTTTCCATGTAGCTATAGCTCTCTCGGTCTCTGCCTCCCATCGCTATCAGATTGGTCTGACCCAACAAAAATCCAGTTTGGCGCTGGTTGACAGTGCGCGCACACTTCAGTACGCTCGCAGAAAAAGTGCATTAGAACAGAACGCCAATGAAATGTTTACCCGGCAAAGCTTTAAAGCACGAGCAAATAATGAACTTTTGTGATTGTGAATAAGTGCAGTGTCCTGTGAGTGCTAGTCTACCGCTGCACATGTGATGTGAATGTACGTCGAGTTTTACTGTATTGAGACTGAGGCGCCAGAACTGCAGCTGATGTGCGCTGTAGCACGATACTACCATATTTTAGTTTCCATTCTTATTGTGTTTCCACAACAATGTTAGTGAGTAAATCTACTGAAATTGCCACCATAACAGTGGAGTGTGATGTGTTAGACGTAGGGCTACCACATTTTTAAATTACTATTAGTATTATTTGAAGTTAACATAATAAAATACGTAGACCTACACCAAAAAAAACTAGTTGAGAATAAATTCTTTAAAATTGGGGAATTCCAGCGTTACGGACGTGACATTTGCAGTCAAAACTTGAAATATAAATTCTCAGAAAATGCATTTAATACTGAAACGTCTGTTTATATATTCATACTCCCTTAATAAAGGAGTCCATACATTAGAAAAATATCAGTCTACATATTTATACACGTTTTATATTTAATATCAGGGAAATACACATGTGATGTGACACAAAAAAATCTTTAACTTTTAGGTGGCAAAATATTTTTTAGTAATTCTATAAACTACGCTGCGCAAAACAAAAGTAATAGGCTACTACCCACCGGATGAAGAAGGATCGGCCTCCAAATAACACTTTTTTTTTTTTTTGCATTTATGAGGGGGAAAAAAATGTTACGGACGTGACAGTTCTCCGTTACCGACATGACCGCTCTGAAAGTGACTTTAAAACTTTCACAGAGACCTCAAACAGAAAGTACAAAGCCTTTCTTTGTACTTAAGTAAAATTAAAATTAATTAAGATTGTATCTTAATTTTAATCAATGTTTCATCAAACAGTTGCCTAGATTTAATAAATAAGAAGTAAATATAGTAGAAAATAGATCATCATGACACAGAGGCGCCAGCGCTTGAACTGGACTCTCGTCTAATAAATGAACCGAAACTCAGCGTATAGCCTAAGGTAAGCTACTTGCCTCACAGACCTGATAAATATATAGAAAGCTTGAAATGTCTACTTTTTAACAGAACAATTCAAAACGAAAGAAAACAGACTACAGACTGCTCTCTGCTTATGTAGCTAATCCGTATGAAATGTGCATTTCTCTCTGGCGCGTTCACTACTGAGAAGATCGCGAGTCAGCATCGTCACCTTTATATTTGCAGCGACACGGACAAAGACTTGTTTATTAATAAACAATTGAAATGTCTCCTTGCTGTATTTGACATATTCATAATCATTACTTTTGCCGGTTCTTTATGGCAGCTTTTAGATACTTTATTGGCAGCGCCACCCTTTTTACATGAACACGTCACCACTGCATCAGCACCGAAAACATGATCTTTTTTTCTTTTCCAAATCAAAAATCATTATACGAACCGAATTGTAGGTTTGGTCTATCGTTACAGCCCTAGTAAGATGAGAAAGCAGGAGTTTAGTCGTTTGTCATGGTTGTAAAAAAACCAATGGCTATCTGAACATCTTTGCCAAGCGCAAACCAGTACAGAAGTAATCAATAAATTATCGGGGAGGGTCATGCCTTTTTTCACCATCATTTTGGAGGGTCATAGAAAAAATTATTGCTAGCGAAGGGAGGGTCAAGTCTTTTTTGACTAAAGATCTCAAATCTCCTCCGGTGGCCCCTGAAATAAAAAACGATCAGTCCCTTAAGGCGGAAAAGTAGAAAGAGACATTTAACAACCTTTAAACAGTGTAATAAGTCCTGTGGTTATAGCATCAAAAACAATAGAGAATTGTCCAGGCCTAACAGGAAAATTATTTTTTTGCAAGAATTGACCATAACGATTAAAAATGAGGACTAAAATAGTATTTTTGTTGAAGGCAGGACTTCGCTGTTCAAAAAAAAAGCGCGAACCGCGAAACTTCACTTTTAAGGTGCACGACGTTAGAGACTGTTGGTAAGTAATTAGAACCTACTATTCTTTTTATTATTTAACAGCTGCTTAACAATACCAATCAGTGATGGTAATTGCTAAATCTAAAAAAAAAATATATAAAATTTCTGTGATTATGAATTTTTACAATAAATTACCGACTCAATTATCAATGTAAACATCTTTTTTTTTTTTTTATGTTTCAAGCATCTTTATGCATACCGGTAACAATAAGAATGGCTTAGCCTATTATATGCTAATATTGTCAATGTTACAAAGTTTCCAAAACTAACTTGCGTATAAAAACTCTGATCACCCACTCTATTGGAGCTTGATACTTAAAACCCTGAGCACAGATTTGGTCGGGACACAAAGTTATTTATATCTAACTTAAGAACTGCTTTTCGGTGTGTACAGTAACGTTAAAGAAGAGGCACAGAAGACGACGCGGGAGATCTAAATGGCATCGCCAAATGAAAGGTATGTTGCACTCTTCCAGGGACGTGCACAGACATTTTGAGGGGCAGGGGCTCTTTTTTTTTTTTTTTTTACTTTTTTTTAACAAAAAAGTATGTATATTAACACAACTCTGACTTCCTTTTTAAAAAAATAATTAAAAAGTTAATTAATTTTATCTTCCTTAAACTCACGCAATTGTTTCATTTTCAAAAGATGTTTACAAAATAATCAGTTCACACAGAAACCATGATCTCCTTAGTATTCACTAGGTTTACAAAGCAGCAAAGGAAACCATGCCACAATGTGCATGTTTTCTATGCTACTAGTTTCAATCAAGTATATATTTAGAATAACCTGAATAATTGCATCAAGCAGAGGGGCGGGTTTTACTAATAATTTGTTTATTTTTGCACAAGGCACTACATCATTTTAATTATTTTGGTGTTATCAGAATACATAACACTTTAAAATCAACACAAATATTCACTCTAAACTGAAGAGGGCTGTTGCTGCTATTTTGTTAATTTTACTGCAAAAATGATTGACAAAATACAAAAATAAAATTATTACAAAAAAAGGTCTTCTACTTCAAAATAAAATCTGTTACTTCCATTCCCTGGTTGTCTCTCCTTCCTCCCTTACAGCGGCAACCTTCTGGGGGCCATGTCCCTGTAGATGTTTATTACTTCACTGTGGTTTACAGGAATGACTTTCTCAATAGCCAGGAGGAGATCAGAAAGCCTCTCTTCTGTGCATAGACTTCTGAGTGTGTCTTTAACCAGTTTGAGCTTGGAAAATGACCTCTCCACTGTTGCTGTTGACACTGGAATTGTTGCGTAAGTTCTTATCATTTGTTTTTAACAATGTTTTTAACATCTCCTTCATGGTGGATGTGTTTGGGAAAGATGCATGAAAAACCCTTAGGTCTGTTTTCAACTTCTGCTCCTCTCCTCCATAGAATTCACACAGTGTGTGAATGGCCTCAAGAGAGCCAGGACCCACTGCATCTTTGCCTATCCAGTTGTTGGCCTTTGTCAAACTGTGGAGTGCGTTCAGTATTTAACTGGAGTGTTTCTCACCCTCTCCTCTAAATCTTCTTTGTAGTTCCTGAGAAAGAACATCTAAGAATGAATAGTACACCTTTACTCTGTAGTAGTCTTCTACTGACTGGAAGGAGTGGCTCTCTGTTGCTGCACCAGTACTTTGGCTGTACTTTGCAGGCACCCTCCTCTGCCTTTGCTGTCCCAGGGGCTCTTTGTGAATGCTGATCCCAGCGGCTTATGCCTTTTCCGTGGCACTCTTAAAACAGTTTTCCAAACTGTTCCTTCTGTCCTGAGGTTGGACAGGGTGTCCTTCACTCCATCAACAACAGTATATGCTGTGGACAGATCAATATTGCAGTTCTGTAGAGCATCAGAGGCAAGAGCAGTGACTTCAAAGACAGGAGTGGCGATCTCAAGGCAGAGCAAAAACTCAAAGTCTAGGGGTCTCATTCATGAAACATTCGTAAATACACGAGTAACAATGAGAGTGATTTGCGCGTAAAGAGAACTTCCCGAAAACTCTTCTCCTGATTCACAAATACTTTGTAAACATCAGATGTGATAGTGAAATGTGTGTGTGTGTGTGTGTGTTAATGAATTCCAATCAGTCGTAAATTTCCAATTACCATAAATCCCGCCCATTAAATCCGACTGACAACTATATATGGGCATCATATTATGACACCAAACGAAGGATTTCAACATGTCTTCTCAAAAAAAAAAAAGAAAAAGAAAAATTTCTCAGATGCAGAAATTGAAGTTTTATTGTCAGAAGTTCATTCAAAACGAAACATTTTATTTTCAAGCGTACATAGTGGCGTATCAGGTCAAAAAAAAAAGGAAGCTTGGCAGCATATTACAGATGCAGTTAATGGAGTTTCATCTGTTAATCGAACAGTCCCAGAAGTGAAAAGAAAATGGTTCGACATGAAGCTTGACTGCAAAAAAACGAATTAGTTCATTTCGAAAAAATCGTTTTCAAACTGGAGGAGGACCACCATCATCATCGAGCATATCTACATGCGATGAACGCATCATTAGCATAATTGGCAAAACCTCTCTGTCGGGTATAATTTCCGATGGTGACAGTGATGAAACCCCTTTGCAGGAAAGCACTTCAGCACAATCAGATGGTAAGGCTACATTTCATATTTTCTTTAGGCCAGCTGACATGGTAAAATAAAAAATATAATTTTAGAGGAAATACACAAAGCAGTTTACATTTGAGCAGATTTTACTTTTTTGTAAAGACAGACAAATGCCAACTGTGTCCGCCCATGAGACCACTGAAGCGGCAACCGGGTCCGTTCATCTTCCGGCCCCTGAACCGGTATATCCAGCAGCGTCCCGCAGTGTTGCCTCTGCACAGAAGACGGCTTTAAGTCAGGAAGTGCTGGATAAGCAAGACAAAATTCGTGAAGCTGTGCTGGCAATAAATGACACATTAAAAGAAATAAATGTAAGCCTACGAGAAATATGTGATGCTATTAAACAGAAGAAATAAAGTTTACTGAAACTATTTTGTGCGCTTGCTTTTTAATGCATACATACTTTTAGAAACGTAGAATCAGTTCCTGTCGCTTTGCAATTGCAGCAAGAGTTATGTCTATGTGTCGGATTGGCAAAATTGGAGGCACCATACCATGATCAGGTCTAATTATATCCTCTGGGTCTGGCAGACCATGTTCCATGGCAATGTTGTGTAGAACGGAGCAGGCCAATATTATTTTGCAAACCTTTTCTGGTCTGTATAACAGTGTACCACCTGATGTGTCCAAACACCGCCAGCGCCCCTTTAAGATGCTGTTTGTGCGTTCAATAACTGACCGAGATTTTGTGTGTGCTTCATTGTATGCCATCTCTTGCCGGCTTTGGGGATTTATCAATGGGGTCATAAGCCATGGTGTCAGGGGATAACCATTGTCACCTGAGTGTAGGGGAGGGGAGGGAAAGTGTCAAATATTTGTCAAATGTTGTGAATAAATAAGATTGTACATACCAATTAGCCATCCGTCTGTAACTGCACCACTGTCCAGACGTCTAGCATCTGAGCTGCTCCGAAGAATGAAACTATCATGAGTACCACCCGGCCAGCGGGCCACTACATTAAGTAGTGCACATTTAGCGTCACAAATTAGTTCCGCATTGATGGAATGATAGTTTTTCCTATTCAGAAAAGGAAATGCATCATGGGATGGCGTCTTGGTGCGAATGTGTGTGCAATCAATTGCTCCTATTACGTTTGGCAGGTTTCCAATAGCAAAGAATCTTTGCTTCACCTCCAACTGATGGACAAGGTTATTGGGGAATTTTATATATTGGGACATTAGTCCTATTATGCAATCAAGAACATTTGGGATGATGCGACTCATGGATGACTGAGATATCCCTGACCTGTCTGCAACCTCCCGCTGGAATGTTCCTGTTGCCAAACAACCAATCACGGACAACACCGGCAAGTGTACTGGAATGCTGTGGGATCTTCTAGTTTGCCTTCTAAGATTGGCCTCCAATATATTGCATAAATGCAAAAGAACTGGTCTGGGTAGCCTGAAACGACTAATTAACCAGTCATCATTCTCGGCAAGTAAGTCTGCGCGGTCTCTGAAAATACGCCTTTTGCGCAGCGCTCTATCTGCCAAATCTAGCAAAAGCGCTATATCAGCCATCGTAAATGTTTCTTGTTATGCCTGATTCTGGTCATTTTATAGGAAACAATTTCCGTAACAATTAAGGGGCTATTAGTTTGCCCAGTCCTATTGAAAGCAATTAATTATTTGATTAAAGTGTTCCGTTTGCAGATGCTATTACTGGCTCTCATAATAAAAGTAAAAAGAAAAACTGTATGTATATAATTAGCCTACTATATATAATATTTTTTCAAAATGCTGTGTAAATATGTACCTGATTAAGCTGAATTAAAATGCAGCCTTATTAATGAGCAAAACGTTCGGATGTTAAGCACACTATTTACGCGTGGCTGGGAGCAGGTGTAGATTTCTTTCGTACCAACTAACATTTGGAAAATACAAACATTTTAATGAATCCGAAAATTTACACACGATTTACACAAAAATTTGTTCTGCTCGTGTTTCATGAATGAGACCCATTGGCTTTAAGGTACATCCTGGCATCTCCAGCAGCAGTATCTGGAGGCTCCTGCTCTGTAATGTCAGTGAGGACCTTGACCACAGAGCTCATCACTTTAAGGAGGGCCTTCAGGGCTTTTTCTCTGCATGCCCAACGTGTGTCAGAGAGTTTCTGCAGTTTGATTACACGCTCTCCAGGGTGCAGGGCCATTTGGCATTTCACAAATGCAGTGTGTCTTTTCGTAGAGCTAGTAAGAAATACATAGAGCTTCTGTACCAGGTGGAAAAAGGTAATGAAGTGGAGGCTTGATTTTGCAGCTTCAACTAAGACCAGATTTAAGCAGTGGGCTTGGCAGTGCACATACAGAGCCTTGTCATTGTGTTGCAGTATTCTTGACTGCAGTCCTCTATATTGACCACTCATATTGGCAGCGCCATCATGGCCTTGACCACGCATGTTTTGGATCTGTAGGCCGTTGTTCTTTAGCAAGTCAAGAACTGTTTTCTCCATTTCCTCACCTGTTGTTTTTGACACATTGCAGACCTGGACGAAGCACTCCTTGACTTCCATTTGATACACGTAACGCACAACAAGAGAGACCTGCTTGCAATGAGATACATCAGTGGTTTCATCTATAAGTACTGAATATATATTGGCCTCCTCTATCTCTTTCCATATCTCTCTTTTTGTGAATGTGGCCAGGGCTTTGATGAGATCATTTTGTGTTCTGTTTGAGAGGAGTGAAACTTGACACCTTCTTACCCATTTTCTGGTCTTTGACATTATCCAAATGTAGTCTGAGTACACTGTCATACTGGCTAAACACTTTAACAAGTTCAAGGAAGTTGCCCTGGTTTGAGCTTGTGGCAGACTCATCATCACCCCTGAAAGCCTTCCCCTGCCGTGCAAGATATAAAGTTATGTCAATTAATCGGGTCAAAATTTCTGTTTCTTTGTTTCTCTCTCTCTCTCTCTTTTTGCCTTGTCTTGAGCATATGATACCTCAAAAGCTGCTTGTAAAGCACTGTTTTTATACGTGTTCCATCGCACCATGCTTGTTAAGTGGGCCTCTGAGTCCCCTTTTCCAGTTGTCAACACCAGCCACTCTCCACGTACTCGTGTACTTTTGTTCATTAAGAAAAAGCCGACAGCAAAAGCAGTACATACTATCCTTGTCAGGTGAATACTCCAACCATGGCCTATTTTCATAAAATGTCTTCTGAAATGATCGTCCTTCAGTATTTTTGGGAAATCTGAGAACAGGTTGGCATGGTCCTCTGTCAACACACACATAACTGGCATTACACTGGAGATCAAAAGCTTTGTTGTGTGCGGGATCTGTTGGATACTTTAAGGATGCAATTTTTGATTTGGCCCCTTCAACACTACCAACAGTTTCCTCAACCTCAACATCTTCTATTGCTTCCTCAAACTCAACATTATCCACCGTTTCCCCCTCTATAGTCTCTTCCTCTTCACCACGGACAGTGATTTCCTGATCATCTTTGTAATCTGTGTCAGTCGTTGCCTCTATAACCTCCTTTTGTCTTTCAGTTGTCGTTTTAGAGATTTCAACTGCTCTCTCAGGTGTAACACTTTCAACATCTGAGTTATCTGTTCTCTCTTGGGTTTTGCTTCTGGTACCTGGTTTTAACCCTCTGGGGACCAGAGTGTTTTTGGGGCCCTTGGGATGTTTTGACATGCACTGACATTTGTGCTTTTTTCAGTTATTTATAAACATGTTAATGGCAAAGGTGTAAATTCACTCTATATAGCACAGACGGGACTACCATGATAAGTGAGCAACATGTATGTACATGTTTGTATTTTTAATAGAATAATGTTTATGCGTGGTTATTGAAAAAAATAAAAATGAAAGTTGCTGAAATAAGACCACAAAACACATATTGATTATTTCTTCACAAGACTTTTGAAAATTGTATCACATAGCCTAGAATATTTGCTCCAAAACTATGTGAGAATCATCCTGACTACTCATTCAGATAAGTCAATAAAGTCTTTTACATTTTTAATGACGTGTTTTGTTTGAGAAAGCTTTATGCAGGAGGCTTGATCTCTCATTAATATGTGTGGCATTCCACACCTGAGAAAGACAAAGACCCTCCCATAATGGCCCTATTAGGTGCTATCAGGCCATATCATTACAGGAGCCTTGCACAAAGAATGAGGAGATTTAAAAAAGAATGGCTTTTAGATTGTTTGGATTTATATAAGGAAAATACTGGGTGCATACGTCTGGACACTTCTATCACACACCCTTCACCATATAGACATGGTTTTATTTCAGTTCAAAGTTAGAGTTGTAAACATCTTGAAAAGAAAATTGTCTTTTTCCATAAATGTCTTAGTTTGATCATACATATTTCAAAGTTGAGGATTATTTATTTTGATATAGCTTGCATTGGAACAAACATCTTAGTTGATTAGTTTATTGACAAAACATAAGCTTATTTGATGTCTTTATTTTAAAGCTTATTTGATGCTTATTTGATTTGAAAAACTTTATCCAAAACTAGTCAAAGAAATGTTCTTTTATTTCGTCTGTAACAGTGCGTATCTGTGCGTTCATTCATTCATTCACACACACACACACACACACACACACACACACACACACAGAGAGAGAGAGAAACATAATTCACATTTAAACAGTAGGATATGCTATTTGTCCGTTTACAGACACTAACGTTATTCTATATCGTGATTAGAACAAAGCACAAAACACTTACACTTCTCAGCTGAATCTGTTGCTCCTCCTCGAAGTGAAACCAGCACTTGTTCTGTGGTAAATGTCCCAGGATTATTCCGCATAGCCGCGCAAGACGAATCTTAATCTGACTAAAAAATATTGTGTGTTTACAGCATTTGCCTGGGGGCGTTTATCTATTTTGCAAATGGCCTCAACACATTATCTTATGAATAGCGCGCTCTGCGAGTGGGTGTGAACAAATTAACGATAATGAGCTGAGACAGGACAGGAGAAACTGTACTTCTCTTTAGTTTTTGACAGATTACATTGCAGGAGAATATTTGTTTTAAATGTGAATTGTTTTATTTAAAAGTAGAAATTTAAAGCGTTTTTTAGACGTATGTTTCATGTTTGTGTGATAAGTATTAGCGGAGTTTCCGTTCATTTTCCAGACATGTTTCAGAAAGATTTTTGCGGAGACAGAGTGAGCTGAAAGCGCACCCTGTTTATTTTATTTATTTTAAAAAAAGCACAAGGTTTTGATGTTAATGTGAGTGTACACAAAAAAAGAAGACCCTCTATAGTTTATAATCATGTATTGATTTTATTTATATGACCATAAATGACGGAGTATTTTAAGTCCTATGTTGCTGCTATGTGAAAAAAAAACAGCAAAACGCGCGGGCGCGTTCTTGGTCCCCAGAGGGTTAAACATGCATTTAGCGATTTGCTGCTCTTGGCTTGGCTCCTTCTCCTTCCTTTTCTGTATCCTTTCTTTTTTTGGCATTATGCTGCCTTGCAGGTATGATTAAAATTAATTGTTTAAATACTTTTTGTTTCACAAGTAAAATAACTTTTTAGCTTCACACAACCAAGCATCAGAATACTGAATTGCCTGAATGTTTTAATCAAATACATTAATATTATTATTGCTATGCATGTACACACACACACACATACACAATAACTGATGGTGACATGGACCTAGTTTCACATTTGACGGAGGACTGTATCATCATCATCATCATCAAATAAAACCTTCAAAATCCACATTTAGATGGAGTTTGTTTTAAACCTACTATCCTCCATCTGTTTGCATCTGTAGCTTTCTTCTAAATTCACCAATTTAGATTTCTATCTTTCAGGGGGAAAGACTCTTGATGTATGTAAGTCATTAACTGGGGACGTTCTGTGGTGATATTTTTTTAGTTATTTTGTTTATCCTATTTACCTGCATTGCCCTGTCAATTAGATGCAAATGTGTGCATTTTAACTAGTTGACGCCTAATTTGCATATCAGTTTATCGATTGTGATGATGTTATTATTAGACACACGCACTGTATTCACCTGTAGGGTCCCCATTTAGTACAGTAGCACTGT